TCTTTTTTTATTTAAAAAGTCATTATATAACATGGATGCATAAAAAAATTATTTTATTTTGGTGTTAAATTCTGTTTAAAGTAATCGGACATTTACTGGTTGTTGATTGTCTTTATTCGAACTCTGCTGACTTTTAATCGGTTACCCCTGTTTTAGACAATGCACACCTCTTGGTGTTTTAACATGTGATGTATAAAATATATATTTCTTGGTATGACTTGGTATGAAAGCGAACAAACCACTGGGCCTCAGTTGTTTCTCTAAAAGCAAGATGGCAGTAGGACTTAGGTCAGACTTATGTCCTTTGGACATCGGAGACCAAGATCATAATGATCATTATTTTGGAATTTAGCAAATATATTTGCTGATCTAATTTGATGATAGAACTGAAAAACTCATACAAGTAAATATCTGGTTTCATCTAAACTAGCTTCACTTTTGAGAATCATCTTCCTCAGGATGATCTTCCTCAGTCTCCTCCCGTTTTATATTTTAAGGTCATATACGGTCAGACATCATATATTAACCAACACGCTGCACAATTGAATTAAAGATAACAAAATAAAAACAAGAAAAAGAAAATATAGTCCAAATGTAAAGAAAATACTTTGTTATAAGAGAACATCAAACTCTGCAGCTGAATCAGATGCCCACAAATAGAAATGAGTCTTGAGCAAAGATTTAAAGGTCTCACAACATTTCAGGAAGTTTGAGGCTGTTTGTGTGAACTGTTTATGTTGAAACTGTTTTCTGTGGTCAGGCTGATTCATCTGCTGTTATGCCTGCAGTTGGATTCTACTGGTTAAACTCTGCAGTGTTTCTGCTTCAAGGCTCTTAAATCTATGTTAGTGACCCCCTGACCTGATTAAATATGGTCCTGAATAGCACAGCATCATCAAGCACACCTCCTAAAAATGCTGAGCTGAGAATAATTTCTGTATATTTGTGGAAAGAAGACGAAACAATTCTCCTTAAAGGTGTAGTGGAAGATTTTCAAACATTTTTGAAAAAGACCCATCCTCTCCACTTAAAAAAGAAAAATGCACATGCACAACCCTGTACCTGCTTCCAAGAGGGAGCACCGATTAAACGTGAGAGCGTGCATGAGCCACCTCCTCAAAGAGGTGCGGGGATGCAATGATGAGACCGTCGCTCGGGCGGATCCCATCTCACCCATACTTATATATAAAAATGTTCACTGCAGTTTAGACTACTGGTACATTAAAAAAATCATGACCTGCTTGTATATGTCTGTGAACTGCAGCCGAAATTTGAGTTAAATAAGAATCTGTGGCCGCCGTATAACTGCTAAGGAAATTACAAAATAAATAAACTTATCTTCCCTGGAAAGTTACAAAATAGAGGTAGCAGTGATGTGAAATGGATTTCTCCAAATAGCATGCCAGACTTTACCTGTCGAGTAGAAACTGCAACTGAGGCATCAGTGGGAAGCCCCACCTGTGCTTATAGTGTACACCCTTCCGTGAAAGAATCTCCCCAAAACACTCTGGTCTTGTTTCTCTCTTCTGAGGCCTTTATTTTCTTCTCATACTCTTCACACTTTTTCTATAATGAGCCTCCTCCATTTTCAAAGTCAGAAATAAGTCAGAAGGGTCTGAGTACGATTCTTTCTGCAGTTGAGTTTGCATGTTCTCCCTGAGCATGCGTGGGTTCTCTCCGGGTACTCCGGCTTCCTCCCACAGTCCAGAAACATGACTCTTAGGTTAATTGGCTTCTCTAAATTCTCTTTAGGTGTGAGTGTGTGTGTGAATGGTTGTTTGTTCTGTGTTGCCCTGCAATGGACTGGCGACCTGTCCAGGTTGGAGCCCGCCTCTCGCCTGTAGACAGCTGGAGATGGGCACCTCCACATGCTCTCCATGAGAAAAAATACAGGGTTCTGACTGGGTCCGTCTGAAATGTTATTTTGTACTTATTTCAAAGTTAACACATTGTTAAAATTGGACTAGTAGTATAAAACTTAAGTCTGTAGTGAATCATGTTGGCCTTAAGTGTCCCTTTCTGAACTTTCTATGTCTCTCTGCCACCCTCTGCAGTTAAAATACTATTTTTGTCTGTTTCTGTATGTCTTAAAGCGACAGTGTGTAATCATGACAGGAATTTAATGACATTGAAGTAATATATTATATATAAGCATGCTATTTATTACCCTATAACGACTGAAAGTCTCACATTCTGTTTGTTTGCATTGCCTTAGAAACTGCTATTATCATTTATATAGGAGCAGCTTTCGCATTGATGGAAGCAAAAATATTTGTGCTATTGCAGCACAGAGGTGACAAACTAGTGACTGTAGAGATCACCAATATGCTTGAATGTGACAGTGGTGAGTTAGTTATATAAAATCTAAATCGTACACAGACTAATTAAAAGCTGTTTATAAAATGATCTATATAAACAAACCTCGTCATTACTAGGTGACTGGATTGTTGGGGAAGCCATTTTGTATGATGACGGCCTCCGTATTGTTGGGGGGGAGAAGCCGTGGGAGGAGCTCTTCATGTTGTCCCAGAAAATGATACAACGATGCTTTAAAATTTCATTCTGAAGTTTTTCCACTTGGTTTCAGTCCAGTTTTTGTTTCTAAATATTGTATAATAGTGTCTGAAAACCAAAAACTGAAAATACACCAAAAATACAAAAAAAACTAAATTAGAATATTTGTTTCCAAAGCTTTTTGCATGTTTTCTAAGCCAAAACAATGCTTTGTTGGGCTACTCTATAAAGCTTGGAACTCAACACTATTTCAGACATTTGGAATTGAAAAAAGCTTCCTGGTGGAGAAGTGAAACATTTTCAAACTTAGAAAACAAAGTCCAGTGGATTGTTTTTTTTTTTTTACTTTTTTGGAATGACTATGACCTGGATGACTGAGAATCTTCACCAGAATAATACTTGATATCTACATAATCTAACTTTTCCCTTAGTGAGGTTTTTTAATAAAATATAAAAAGAAGAAAAAGTTCAGTTAAAAATGTGTTTATCTGTCTTAGAATTGTGTTTAATATTTTATTACCAAAGTTTTGTAATATTCCTGGACAAAGACAAACTTATTCCCCTCATCATAACATAATGCCTCTTAATTATCTAACAATATCAAATACTGATTGTGAGGTGGTTTGAATTACATAAAGTGTCTCATAACTGTTTCTCAGTTGCTTATTTAATACACAAAATGCGTTTAAGCATTTCTGAGTGGGGATGTGCACAGACAGACACTAGGTGGTACTATAGAGCACCTGCCTTTTCTCTGCTGGACATAAAAGTGCTCTCCTGAAATAATTTATATCTCTTCTATTTGATACTGTATAGCTGAAAGATTACACTGAATATTGAATAGTTTATGCCATTTATTACATTGGGAAAACATAAAGGTGTTATATTTAGTGCTTTAGCTTTCATTTTGAAGGTGCTTAGAAATTTGAACACCTGTACACTGTAGGGCAGAGGTAACATTAGGTAAACATCAGGATCCAAATAAAGAAAATCAACAACCAGTAAAGGTCTGAAGACATTTTTAATTATAATCTGTTACTTTAAACTTTTAACACTGAAATAAACATTTTTTTTTTTTCATTTTAAAATCTAAAGTGTGTTTTTAAGTAGAGAACAACAATCGTTCAGTTTGGTATATAAACAATTTCCTGATTCACATATTTCATAAAACTCCTGAACTGACCGTTTATTTTTTTCTTTCTTTCTTATGTCTTAATGTTCGCAGTGGCAGCAGCTCATTGGCTAATTTGTATCACATGCAGCCTGTCCCTGGATGCTCCTGAGGGCTTTACTGTATTAACAGGAGAGGCAGCGCAAGTGAAATTAGACACTGGCGTCTGACAACATGCAGTAATCTATTAATGTTTTAAATCAGGTTGGGTCCGGATTAGCCAGCATGTAGGTCCGGATCCATCCATGACCTCTGCCGTAGGGTATATGAAGACTTTACTACTTTGAAAGTTATTATAATTTATTTAGTAATAGAATTAGTTCTTTAAGTTTCTCAAAGATCTTTTGTTCATTTTCCTCAGTGTCGACGTTTGTTGTACTTAAAGAGTACATTGTACTATAAAGATTTTATTACTCTTTATTAGTCAATGGTAGTCAGGTTTGTAAAGATAAAAGTGTTTAGTTTAACCTTCCTGATCCGGGTGTCACAGCCGGCTTTATCACATTTTCCATCAATTTATTTGTCACAAAAAGTATTTTTAAGATGCTTTAAATCAGGGATCTTCGACATTTTCCAGGCCAAGGACCCCAAACTGATGGCGAGATGGAGCAGGGACCCTCTAATTATATATACTGTATGAAATTGTGTTATATCCAACTGGTCCTATAGTCACTCTATTACAGATGGAGTAATGTAATCCCTTATGGGATTATTAAAGTACTTCTGATTCTGATTGCTGGTTGATGGGACAGGTGTTGTGAATGAAACGGTGCCCAGCTTGAAAGAGCTCCTGTGTGTCGCTGAATGTGTGCATTAATGACTGAAAGACATCTTCTGCCTCCATTTATCTGTTTACTACAGCGTGTTGAATTCATGTCAATGTGGATTTAAAGACATTTCAATTAATGGAAAAATTGCAGGGCGGAATATTAAAATAGTCTAATCAACCAAAACTTTCGACCCCCCGTGTAGTACCTCTGTTGACCCCCTAGGGGTCGTGGACCCCCTGTTCAATTGACAGGCTGGTCTGGCTGCTAGTCTTGCTCAGCTAATCAGGCGCCCCCTTGTTTTTTTCCTCCCCTGATTCAAACCAACGTCCTGTTGATTTTCACAAACATTGGGAACAAAAGGCTGACAAAATCCCAGGTGTTTCTGACAGTCAGTGAAAAACGAAGCCCAGGCTTTCAGTGGAAAGTAGGCTAATAGCTTTATAATGAGTGAAGATAGAAATCTGTGTTATAGCTTTAACACCAGATGATAGCAAAGCGTCACAGTATGAAATAAAGTCAGGGTCACTCCATAGAATAAAATCAGCTTTAATGGCAAGTTGGTGTGCAAATCAGGAATATGACCTTCATTTTCCATCACTTACATCACAATTATCAATACAAACTACAACCTGAGTTTGCAGAAAGAAATGTAATAAGACAAGATAAAAAACAACAAAAGTATGTATTTACAAGTGTGCTTTTTGTATATAAATAGTAAAGGACAGGCAGATTGTAATAGTGCAAAAAGCCTTCATTGTTCTAGCAGAGTAGAGGAATACTCAGGCTTTCAGGTGTTCATTTTGTTTAACGGAGAGTTATCCTGGAGAAAAGAGACGGTCTCGGTTTGGCTGGTTTTATAAGAAGCAGTCTGTAGCTGCCTCTGATCAGGATGCAAGGGGTCTGCAGAGATGAGTGGTCTCTGATGGAGGGGAGGTCTGCCCTGAGTTATAGAGCCAAACCACACAGAGAAAGATGTGCACAAAACAGACTGAATGGTGGATGTGTAGAAACTGTCCTGCAGCTCCTGTGAAAGATTGGACCTCCTATGTTGTCATTTTGAGTGCCAACTAGTGCGGCACCAGATTACAAAGACTAAATGCTTTATTGAAACTAAGTCACAGGGTGCATTTAAAGGCATATTTGCTGTTCTTTGTAGGAGAAGCTTCAGTTTCTATTCTGCCTTACACTGACTAAGATGAACCATTATGACTTTGCAGCTATCGCAGCGTTTCTGCTCAGTCATCATAATCCAGTTTTACTTCACTGTCCAACATTTCCTCTTTCTTTTTTTCTTGACAGAGACCACAGAGGACAAGTTATCTTAAGGCTAATTCCAGTAGATGTCCAAAGGTTCAGACAAACTTTAATGGTTTTCTGAAGCAACTCAACAGGTTCACGGTCACCAGATCTCAGTTAAGCAGGTCGACTGTTGAATGTGGTAGAGCAGGATCTGTAGATCTTTATGCTGATAAGAAACAACAACTCTTCTGACACTTTGTTTAAAACCACAACATGAAGAATTAGGGCAATTACTAAGGCACCATGGGGTCCAACCTGGAAACAGCACGATGAGCGGACAACAACTCAGCTTTACTTACTCACAAACAGAGAAAAAGTGAACTATATTTGCACACAGGTTTTCAGTGGAGCAGTGAAGTAAACAAAAAGTCTGTTTATCTCAACTTGAACAACACTGATTAGGGTGATGATTATGTGTATCCATGGCAACGGCTCACAATAACAGTCATCTCATGATCCAGAGGCAGGAATTCAAGGAGTCAAGGTTGTTGTTGATGTGTTTGGGTTCTTGTTGATGGCCTTATAGTTTATGTTTACCATGATGTCTTGTCTGTCCTCTTTCATCACTTCGCGTCTCCTGTTTCCTCACATCCTCTATAAGGGTTTGGAAACTTCGATTGCCAAGTGCTGGTGTTATGCATGTTTTAGATGTCTTCTTGCTCCAACACGATTGAAGCCGCAATGACAACAAGGAGTCTGGTAATGGGCCATCTGTAGATAGGCAGTGATTGAGCTAAAACATGTAAGATACCAGCCCTCGTTGAATGACTTTGTTCACCATGAATTCCAGCATTGTTGGTTTTTTATGGATTTCCTCTAATTACCTCAGCCTCTCTTTTGCCCATTTTCTCCTGGCTTCACATTTCTTTGTCCTTAGTCTCCTCCTGTCTCCTTACTCCTTGTCCTCGTCTCCTAGATGTTGCTAAGGCTCTGAGCGGTGGTCAGTGACCTACTCCTCTGTCTCCCTGACAGTTTCCTTATAAGGGAGTCTCTGAACGTTCCACACATCAGGAAGTAGATCACAGGGTCGAGGCAGACATTCATTGCGGACAAGAACAGCGTTCCCTCCTTTATCTGCAGAAGCCAAAACTTGGTGTTGTCAGAGAAGTTGTTATCGGAATCCTGGCTCAGAGTGAACGGCACCCGGCAGATGTGGTACGGCACAAAGCAGATGAAAAACACCGCCAGGATGCTAAAGATGCTGCGGTTGGACTTGCGGCAAATGTCACTTGTGTCGCGTCGCATTCGGCGGTACGTCTTACACACCTGGTGAGCGATAGACATGTATGAAAAGGTCACTATAATGAGTGTCACCCAGAACACAGACACGCTGGCTATGCTAGACGCATTGTGCCACTGCTTCCCCAGAGGTGTTTTCATGTCCATGCATTTCGTGATGTTTCTGGACAGATTGCTTGTCAGTATGCAATTGGGGGAACAACAAATGAAGAAGAGACTCCATGTGAGGACTGCCAGAACCCGGGCAAAGGTGGCACTCTGTATAAGGTGTAGTATAGACACTGGATTACATCTGGACCAGGAGGAGGTGATGGTGGAGGAAGAAGGAGCAAGGTAAACAACCTTGACGTAGCGCTCAAGGCTAATGAGGCCAATGAAGAAGATTCCCACATACATGGAAAAGTAGAACAGCACAGCAGTGTAGCGACACTTGATCATCTCTAGATACCAACTATTAAAACCAAAGTAATTGGCCACTCTGAAGGGGATGGAGAACAGCATGAGGAGGTCAGCCACCACCATATTCTTCAAGTAGACAACCAGTCCCGAGTCGGCCGGGACTCTGAAGAAGATCCAGGCAGCCACCGCATTCAGACATATTCCCACAATGAAGATGATGATGTAGAGAGGAGGAAGGACCTGCGCGATGAAGAAGCTTTCAGAGTCAGTGTTGTTCATCATCTTGGCCGAGTTATTGTTCTCCATTCCTGGAAAAACAAGATAAAATGGTTTTAATAGCAAGAACAAAATGGGATGGATGGATGGATGGATGGATGGATGGATGGATGGATGGATGGATGGATGGATGGATGGATGGATGGATGG